GGGGTCACCGTCTCTTCAAAACGAGGACCCAACACAGGATGGTTGGAACAAACACACGAACGCGTCCGAAGACCAGTAGACGACGACGACGACAACGACGACGACGACGACGGGCAGCGGGCGCTGGGGCGCCTGAGGTCTAGAGGGGGCCGTGCGCGGCGGCTGGTGCGAAAGTCGTCGGCGGCGGCGGCGGCGGCGGCTCCTCCTCCTCCTCCTCCTCCGCCTCCTCCTTCTGCCTGCTCCTCCTCCTCCTCCTTCTCCTGCCTGCCCTGACCTCCTCGTATCGTGAAACCAATCGCGACGGAAAACTTTTGGCGCATTTCGGCGCCTGGGCCCTTACCGGGCCCTGGGACCATGAGAAGAAGACTGAGGATGGGAAGCCCGTCCCCGGCACGGGGCCGAGACCTGGAGCCCCGCCGTGAACAAATCACGACGTCAGACGTCAGTCGTCTTGGTCCCATCGCTCCTCCGTCCTCCCTCAGCCCTTCCCGTTCGTCCTCTTCCTCCTCCTCCTCCTCCTCCTCCTCCCTTCTCTTGCTCGTCCTCATCTTCCTCCTCCTCCTCTTCCCCCCCTGCCTTCTTCCCCCCCGCTCCACCTTGAACCGCGCATCGCCACAAGACAGTCCCGCAAATAGACAGGGCGAACCTGCTCCTCCCACTCCTCCTCCTCCCACTCCTCCTCCTCTCCTCCCTCCTCTCCTCCTCCTCCTACATCGTACGCTTTCCTCCTCCTCCTCCCTTCCCTCCTGCCTCTCCTCCTCCCTCCCCCTCCTTCCTCCTCCTCCTCCTCCTCCTCTCTCCTCCTCTCCTCCTTCTCCTCTCTCTCCTCCTCCTTCCACTCCTCCTCCTCCTCCTCCTCCTCTCTCCTCCTTCCTCTCCTTCTGCCCTTCTTCCTCTCTCCGAAACGCAAATGAGAGGGGGGGGCGGGGGGGGGTGGGGGGCGGCCAGGGGGCTCCCGTGGGGAGCGCGCTGATGCGAGGGCCCCGCTGCGGAAGCGCAGCTCTTCCGCCGCGCGCCCCGAGGCCGCACTGGGAGCGCGGGCGTGAAGCAAGGGGGGCTGGAGGAGGAGACCCGCAGGCGGAACGTACGAACGTGCGAACGAACGCCGGAGTCGTGCGTGCTCCTCTTGGAAACTCGACCGTGCCCATGAAGGCATGGCGTGGAGGCCGTGGCCTCGACAGGAAGATCTTCTATAGACCCGCAGGCGGGGGGGGAGGCGGAGGGAGGCGGAGATACCTCCATCCCCTGACAGTCACAGTGCTACCAGAAGGTACGCTGAATAGGGAACGCAGGGGCTCTACTTTCCCCTACATGCATGTGAAGAGCGGCCCGAAAACCATCTCCCCTTGTGAACCCGAATTGATGATTACATTAACGTCTTGATTGTACTCCCTCACTCTCCATCCTCCTTCCCCACGGAAGCGCACGGGGTGGCGGTGGTGCCGGGGCGGGGTGAGCGGTGCGGTAAGGCGAATGCGAAGAGGTCTCCCTCACCTCCTGCCTTCCCCGCTCCTCGGCCTCGTCCTCGTCCTCCTCCACCACCTTCTCCGGACCCCGCGCGCGCGCGGGGGGTGGGAGGCTGGGGGTGGCGGAGGCGGAGGGGAAGGACAAACAACTTTTGTTCTTCATCCGTCGCTCCTTTCCGTTTCTCCCTTCCTCCTGACTTCCCCTTCCCTTTCCAGGTCTTCATTCGGCAGAAAATAGCGTGGATGCCGAGTTGCGCGTTGACGATTCGGAGGAAGCGTGGCTGGTAGCCAAATATCGCAACCCGTCATAACCCTCTGGGTTTTTGGTTCAGGAGGGATGCCTCTGAGGCGAATATTATACACGATCTGCTCGTCAAGTGAAGGCATCGCCCGGCCCTGCTCCGAAGCGGCCACACGAGCCTTTCCACGAATGGCCTGGAGCGTTTCTGCCGCCCCTCTCTTGTCATACGTAATTCAATGTTGTTTGGTATCGAGACAGGTCTCAAACGAATTTCGCGGGATAGCTTTATCGTGTTTCGAGAGCGTGCGGTGGGCGCCTTTCCAAATATTTTGCCATGCGAAAGCTTTGTTCGAAATGAAACGCGAATCCCGGGACCCATTCCTGATGAACGTGGCAGCCCTGATTGCCACGTCCTGGAGGCTGGGACGCGCTGGAGGAGTCCAGCCAGATCTCATGGCTGGGTGGGAGGGTGATCCGCGAGTTGTGCCAGCGCAGCGACAATCAGGCGGATTGCGTCCGTTATCATGCTTCGCCAACGCGTTTGGTATCTTCCGCGCCGTCGTCGGCCGCACTGCAAGCGAAGTGCTGGCTGAGGTTGCCGGGAGGGGCCGCGCAGTGGACAAATGTACGTTTCGTTTGGTGTTTCGGCGCTTCGTGCACTATTCGGAACTTTTGGTGTGCCAGAAACATCGTTTCTGGGAGGCGGCGAGCTAAGGGGGGCTCTCTTGGGTGCCGATTGGGCGGAACTTGCATCACATGCCTTCTTCTGTGCCTGGAGAACATCGCGTCTCGCTCACGAGGCAGCTGTTGAACGGCAAACTGACCTCAGGCCGGCTTGCGCCGGTGTTAGGGGAGCCAGTTCAACCATGCCCTGTCTCTGCGGAGCTGAGCACGGCGATTTTGCAAGGCATTTGGATGAGCGCGGCGTCTGACTTTCCGTTCGCAGGGGGCTCGCCCCAGAGTGCGCGAAACTGACTGTTGGCCAGCTCTGGCTGCAGGAGGATGTTGCCAGCGGGGGTGAGCTACAAAGAGTCCTTGCGTACATGAGCGCGGTGGTGCGACTTCTTTTACAACCTCGCTTTTTACAACCTGCACTTGAGCGAGAACCCGTGGATTACAGGGTCCCCGGCTGAAGGTACGCGGGCCGAGCGGCGTGCCCTGCGCGCGAGACCTTCCACCTACGCTGAGGAGTGGGTCGTCGACGCGTCGGACGGAGCGAGCTGGCGCCAGGGCACAGCAGAGGCGAACTCATCTTCATTCGGTTGTGTTCGTTACGCCGAAGGCAGCCACAAACAATCTTGCGAAATACACTGGCTTGTTGGGAAATTGGCAACCTGATTTTCTGCACTCTGCCAAGCAATGAGGTTCCGCGTCGAGGATGCTTGCTCGTCAGGTGAAGTGCCAGTGGCGGTGCCGAGCGCCTTCGTTGCGGCCGCTCTTCGAGACAACACTGCGCAGACTGCGAGAGCTGCGCCGCATGCCTGCCATGCGCGCGTTTGTGGTCACCATGCTTACCGCGAGCTTAAAGTTGATGCCGACGCCGTGTGCAACAATGTTTTGGATATGGTCGCTGACGGCATCGCGCCAGACCGTACGGGCCCCCATGCTTCACAAACTTGGGAGCTTTTGTCACAGGCGCCTGAGCTAGATGCGAATCGGTGCAAACGGTGCCAATCCGATTGGTGGGCTGCTCTGCGGAGCCGCTTTGACCACTGCCGCCCGACCAGCTGTCTGCTCGAAGGGAGGGTGGGACGAAGGGAGGTGGAGAGGCGCGCACGAAATAAACTCTAGATGATGACGATACTAGATCTGTTGGCCGCGGGCCCTATTTTACGGCCCGTACAAAATTAGGTCGCGAACCCCGCAAACGCGTACGCACGACTTCTCTTCACAACAACTCATCTTGTTGCTCGCTCAGCGGGAAGCTTCGGCAGCCGCACATTCGTGCACACATGCTTCATTGCTCATCTTTCTATACATCCCTCTTTTCCCAAGTACTGTATCCCCTCCGTCCTCCTTCCTCCCCTGTAGATACGAAGACTGTCTGGATCACTTCAAGCATGCCTCAATTCCTTCTGACCGTTTGACACGTTCATCACCGCCAAAAGGTATTCCGTGACACGAGGACTTGCCGTTGCAGAAGGTTCGTCGCCCGGAAGGTTGCTTGAGTTTCCCTTGAGGAAAAACCCTTCCTCCTCCCTCCTCGCCTGAGGGGCAACGATAGGGGGGGACTGGCATAGGGGGGGATGCATCGACCTGGAGTCGGCGATACATAGCCGACAGATCGGTGTTAGGCCCCCGATAGTGAATCCGAACCTTCCTGGGCAGGTTGGGGCTATCGGACCCCTATCGGCGATCAGTGTGCGATTGGGGGTCGGTGCATCCCCCCCCCATGCCTCACCCCCCTATCGTTGTCCCCGATCGCCCCCCTCCTCCTCCCTCCTCCTCTTTCCTCCTCCCCCTTGCCCGTCACCCCGCGCCTCCCCCCGAGCGGCTTGGGAGGGCGGAGATCGGAGGAGGGAGGACGGGAAGGGGCCGAAGGGGCAACAAGCAAGGGGGTGCCCGCACAGCGGTGCGGTCGGCCCAGTCGGCCCCTGTGGCCCTTCGGCATTTTCTTGACTCCTCCTCCCCCCCTCCTCCCCCCCCTCCTCCTCCTCCTCCTCCTCCTCCTCCTCCTCCTCCTCCTCCTCCTGGTGTTCCCATGCCCCAGATGCCCCTTCGCGCTCTCTGGAGGAGGGGGGACAGAGGAGGCTGCAAGAAGGCCGGGCCCCCTCTTCCTGCGCAGGACGTTCCGCGCCGGAGGGCCCCTCGGCGAGCAGCAGAAGCCAAGCACATTGCTCAGGACCTCGGAAGGGCCTCCAGAGTCCTGAGCACTCTGGAACTGCCCGCTGAGATGTGCAGACCCTCTTCTATTCTTCCTCCTCCTAGTGCTCCTTCTTCGCTCATCCTTCCTTCGGGCCTCTGGGCCCTCCTCCTCCTCCTCCTCCTCCTCCTCCTCCTCCTCCTCCTCCTCCTCCACCCCCGTCCTCCGTCGTCTTCCTCCCCCTCCTCCTCTTGCGCCCTCCTCCCTTGGCGAGGGAGCCCCAGGAGGCCAACAAGACACACCAGCATTGGCAATCTCGATCCTCGAGCCTCCTTCGCCGGTCTCCGCCCCCTCGTCCGCCCTCCTCCCTCCCCATCGCTCCTCCTGTCTCCTTCGGCATCCCCCTCTCTCCTCCTCGCCCTCCTCCCTCCTGCCTCCTCCTCGGGCGGCCACACCCGAGGCAGAGACCGCGTGCGCGGGCGGCGGGCGCCTGACAGCGCAGCGAGGCCGGCGACCAACTCGATGTAGCTGATCGTGCCGCTGCCTCGGGCAGGGGCCCGGACTCGACGAGCAGCCCAGACCCTGCGCAAATCCGCCGACCCTGTCGGCGTGTGCGACGGGCTTCCCCGTTCGAGTTGGGCTTCTCCGTTCGAGTCGTCGTCTCCGTCGTCCTCCGCTCCAGTTCTCTGGGCCCCCCTCCTCAAGCGCGCCGTGCAAAGCGAAATTGAGCAACGTCGGAGTGAAGTCGAATCCCCTTCCCTTCGATCCCGTCCCTGCCAGGGGGGGACGGGCGTCCCAGGGGGGGCCCGGGAAAGGTCGCCACCCAGATGCGCTTCCCCCCCGCGCGGTCCCGGAAGCCCGAAGAAGTCCCCACGAGATCTCCAGGAGGCCACCGGCGCCGTCGTCGTCGTCGTCGTCGTCGTCGTCGTCGTCCCCCTTCAGGGTCGGGGGCACTGGCCGTAAGGCCCTCGCAATAATCGAGGAGGAGAAGGAAGAGGAGGAAGAGGAGGAGGAGGAGGAGGAGGGGGAAGAGGGGGAGGAGGATGAGGACAAATATCCAGCTCGGTTAGTCTGATCGCCAGCCCGTCGTTTTGCGATTTGCGGTCGATGATGGCAACGACGATGATGACGATGATGCTGATGCTGATGCTGATGCTGCTGCTGCTGATGATGCTGCTGATGATGATGATGACGACGATGGTGGTGGTGATGATGATTCTGATGATGCGGAGGATGATGAGGATGAGGATGGCGATGCTGGTGGTGGTGATGATGATGGTCATGAGAGGGAGGAGGATGAAATGATCTGAGATGGGATGAGATGGGATATACTGATATGAGATGAAATGAGATGGGATATACTGATCTGAGATGGGATATACTGATATGAGATGAAATGAGATAAGCAACCGGCCTGGAGCAACGTTCGGTAGGGCCACGCCGGCCCGCCGCCGGAGGCTTGCGATGAGGCCTCCCCGAAGTCGTCGAGGGGCTCGTCTGGCCCCTCCTCGGCTTCCTCCTCGAGGAGCCTCGCTCCTTCCGCACGGATGGCGGGGCTCTCCCTCCTCCAGGCCGAGAGCCCTCAGCACCTCAGCTCGGGACGTCGCCCCCCCCCCCCCCCCCCCCCAAAGAGTGCGCCCCCCAAAGCCCCGCCTCCCCCGCGTCCTGAGCCGAGGCGCTGGGGGAAAGCTCGCTCGAGAACCGAAAACGAACCATTCACTAATCGACGTGTCAGGGTGGGGGTTCTGCCCACCCCTGATAGGCTCGCTAGAGCCAAACAAAGCAGCGATGCACACGCGCACAGCGTAATTACGGGACGCCTTCGGGGGTCTCCAACCGAAGGTCCCTCGGACCTTCCGTGGAACTGGGGTACCTGCCAGCCTGGAGCCGAAGGAGCTGCGCTCTTAGGCCCGAGGGCACGAGAGGGGAACGAAGAAAATGACATAAACATAAAAACTCGGAGGTCCGCGCGGATTTCTCGGATCGGCGCTGGGGCCCCCCTCCGGCGACGCTCCTGGCGCGCTCCGCGCGCCAGGGAGGGGGGTCCAGCGCGGATCCGAGAAATCCGAGCGGACATTCGAAATTCATGTTTTTCAGATATCAGTTTTATTTTTGTATTTTTGTATTTTATGTTTTCTATGTAATTTCTATGTTTTTTTTTTATTTGTATTTTTGTATTCGTGTTCATTCTATTTATGTATTTCTATGTTTTCAGTTTTTATGTTTTGTATTTTATGTTTCAGTTTTTTTTCGGACATTCAAAATTCATGTAGTGTTTTGTGTATGTTTCTATTTTTGTTGTTTGTATTGGGTGGCCATTTTGTTAACCGATGTCACGATCCCGGGCGGCTGCAGCAGGCAAGCACCATCGTCCCTCGGCGCTGGCTCTGCCTCGGGCGGTGCCTGTGACTGTGGGTCTGGCGGCGCCTCGTCGGCGCCTTCGCGGCTAGCAGCATGCAGCTCCATGGGACCGGTACGGTCCTGGAAGGCCCCCCGTCCCCAACCAACCCGTGCAACCGCGCGCCCCGCCGCCCAGCCCCGCGGGGGGCCTCGACCAGGCCTCGCCAGAAGTGATACATGCTCTCCTCCACTCCATGGAAGGTGGCACCACGCTTCGCGAATTCGTTTGCGGCGTCGTTGCCGCGTTTCTCCCACAGCGTGGTGCGATCATTAAGCGCGCCAGCCATGCTGCATTGTGCCTTCGACTTGTGGGCCGAAAATCGTCCGACAAGAACGCCGCCCCAACAGGGGCCCACATGTGGGCCCGAGGGTTGGCCGCCCCCGCCCCCGCACAGGGGCCCGCCCAAAGAGTGGCCACAGTGCCCATGGAACCAGTGCACAAGTCAAAATGAGGAATCGCCGCTTGGCAAGCCATGCTCGCAACACAATCTTCAGCCTCCCTCAACGACTGATACAGGGCCTGGTCTCGAGGTGCTGGGCCGTGCGCCGCCGCCTGCGCCTGGCCGATTCCGATCGCACATCGCAATAGACCGGCCGGCTCGGCCAGGAACACAAGGCCAGAGAGGTAGCCTGACGCAGGCTGTTGCCACCACAACACCGTCTGTTGGACCTGGGCTTCCCGCGGCAGAACACAACCTGGGCTGGGGTCGGGGGGGGGTCCCCGCGCGAGTTCCCCGGCCTCGACGTTCCACGCATTCACTTTACCGGCCCTGTGAAGCAGCGCTGGCGACGCGTGGTCTCTCCCAAGTCGTGCGTGCGCGTCGCATGCATATATAGCATCGATGCCACAGGGGCCCGCCAGGGTGGCCGCGCAAAACGCAAGCGGCATAATCCGAGAGCCCATGCTTGTGCAATAGGACCTGGAACCACCAAACTCCAGAAATAAACGCCCGAAGCGCAGGCAACCAGCTGGGCAAACTCCCGTGCAGAAACAGAGCTGCGCTACACCTTGACGCGGGCTGCGCTCGCGGACTCATAATCGCCCTAAACGCCTGTCGGCCAGACTCACGCCTCACTCCTTCCCCAGCAAGCCGTTTCACTGCTGCTGGACTCAGACGCACAAAATGTAGAACATCACCGAAATCGTTCCTGATGGCCCAGGCCCATGGAGTGCTCCAGTCCACGCCCTGCACCCGTAGGTAATGCGCATCGGCGGGCGACGCCGCAGCCGCCCATGGCCGCCTGGGCGCCGAACATTTCGCGCGGGCCAGCCCAAAAAACTTCGCGAGGGCCTGGGGCCCCGGCCCACCTTCGATTTGCACCGCGCCCCGTTGGAATGCAACCTGGCAGATAGCTACGACCCAAGGATCGACTCGAGGACCACCTCAAAACGCGCGCATGCGGAGCCCGACAAGGGCCCCCCCCCTGGGGTGCCTGCCAAGATTCCTTCACGTCGAAAGTCTGAGCCTGCGGAGGCCCGTGGGGGCGATGCCCATGGCGCGCCCCCCCAAATGCCGTCGGCCCCCCCCGCTGAATCCACTTCGCATCCGTGCCTGCTTCTCGCAGGTTGACGAGGCGCCTTGACGACCTAGCACCCCTGCTCCAACGTCCCCGGGTGATCCTCGCGTATCTGAAGGCCCCGAGATTCGCGCCCGCCCCGAGGTTCCTGGTGGAATCGGCTTTATCTGAAGCTGGGAGCGACCACCAATTCTCGAGCAAGGCTGCCAGCTCTGGCCTGCTGGCCAAATACTTGCACTTCTTCAAATGCACGGGGGGCTCGAGCTCGCTGACAAAAAAGGAATGTGAACCGCTGCTGCCGGGGGCTGGTCGGCCATCAACTCGCGGGGCCCGATGCGCTGCAGAGCGGCGTCGTCGACGACGTGTCGACCTGCGGTTGGGGCCTGCCGCGGCCAGCTGCACTGGGGGGACCAACCGACGAGGGTTTAGCCAATGTCGTGGCCGCCGAACATACCGCAATGCTGGCCCCAGAGGCCTGTGGAAACTCAGCGACAACCCCATCGTGAAGCAACATTTTGGCACCCGAAAAAATCGAAGCCAGGCCCCACCCGAAGCCTCGAGTTGAACCCGAACTGTCGGCAGGCCGCAGCGAATTAACCATGTCGCACATGCTCGTGCAACTCTGCCAATTCGAGGAGCCGCGCCCATCGTGCGGCTGAACGATCCGAGGGGGTCGCGGTTTCAACTGGACTGGCCATCTCGCGCGCGGTCGCCGGGCCGCTCCCCCAGAGGAAGGCCGCGTTGTGATCCCGCTCCCGAGCCCGACGCAGCGGTTTCCTGAGCTTGCACCAGAGTTTCATGAAGGGGCCGAGCAGTCCGATGGGCCGCGCCCCCCCTTCGGGTCTCCGGGCGAACGCCGCGCCAGTCGCGGATTCCATCATCCAGGGTGGGCCGCCCTCGAAGGCCCAGATAATCTTACGCCTGGTACTCAGCGGGCAACTGCAAGATCAGCTCAGGGTGAAACTCGCCTTAGCCAAGCCCCGCAACAAGACTTGCCGCGCGCCTGCAAGGCCTCCCAAGCGAGCGGGGGAAGCGCCGCGCGATCGCCTATGTCCCAGAGGAGGAGGAGGAGGAGGAGGAGGAGGAGGAGGAGGAGGAGGAGGGGAAGGATGAGGAGGAGGAGGAGAAGGAGAAGGAGGAGGACGAGGAGGAGGAGGGGCCCACACAGGGAGCTACTCGTCGAGGTGCTGCTTGGAGCTTTGATGCCCCAAATTTTCTTGGATGGCATGCCATTGCATGGCCCCGAATGTTCAGTCCGCGCCTCACGCAAACCTATCGGCAGACTGCGTGAAATATCTGAACCAAAGACGGAGGGAACCGAACGCACCATAAGCTAAGATCACACATCGCTAGGCATTCAGCACGTCGTCAACCAGGCGGAGAGTTCATCTCAGATCCCGCCTCCTCCCCCCTCCCCCTCCCCAAGCATACCAGAGCCACCCTCAGGTTTTCTATTCCCCAACCTAGCGCAAACACATAATGGGTCACCAACCTTTCCAAACAGCGATGCCCGATTTGGATGTCCCAGCAACGAGGGGGAACAACGTAAGGGAGGGACCATTCCGATAGGGGCCTAGCTTCTCCCTTGCCTTGCAATGCTGCCTACCTTGTTGTGATGAATCAAGC